CTTCTTTAAAGAATAAATTGAGTTTATCTATTTTCATCAATATACGTATTTATTGATATATATTTTTAGTTAGTAGATTGAAGACTGTAACTAAATAAAAACTATGATTCCGAATGGATCGAATGGCTGGAACTACAGCAACATAAAGTGTACCAATGTTTGTGTATTAGTTTTATCTTCTAACGTCCAGCAAATTGTATTTTGAATTGAATGTTCGCTCGGTAATCTTGTTGTAATGTATGTCCGAAATTCAACTATGGCGTCCATCTGTAAACGCAAACCGACAGCGAAGACCTAACCTCTCTATCTTTAGATGTATGTATACACTGTTATAATAACATCGTCATTGTTACGGTTATGACGAATCCAATAGACGTCGTCGGTTGGTCAAAACAAGCTCTCCGTTGTGTGTGCTCTACCCTCGTTATGTACGTTTTGAAGCTCATTGTATTGTCAAGTTAAGACGCGGACGAGGTGTTAGGCTGAAGAACGCAGCTGATAGGAGTGTGTATGTATATAATAATAATAATAATAATAATAATAATAATAATAACGAAGACGCGACGGCGAGAATATAACACTTCCACTACACCAAGCCAAAAGTGCCTCCTCGATATTATATTCATCTGTCTGAACATGGCAACCTAACCTACCCTTATACATCACGCCCGCCCCTACACACCGACTCACTGGTGCTATTTGTGGTCGTACACGGTCAACGTCCTCACACGACCATCAACGTTGCATGTCATTTTGTCAGCGTTCTGTGTTGTGCTGTTAAAGAACGTCTCGTCTGAGAATGCTGTAGGATATTTTTAACGCCCACCCTTGTTTGTTTGCTTGCTTTCTTTTTTTTTTTTGCCGGAGGGATTAAATTGAAAACAACAAACCCTCGGAGCGTGTATTTCGTTTCTTTCTTAGCATAATATTACATAGTCGACCCTTCAAGTCCGCAGTAATCGGTTCGAGAACAAAAACAAACCAAAAGCGTATTTCGCATTTTCACGTTGGACTCGATCTCGTCGAGCGGGTACAGTGAAAAATTATTCTTACAACCAAAAAACATGTATAATTAATAATGGATGTATGCGGTATAGGCGTCAGTACACTTTCTGGACAGGTAGTGTTATTCTAATAAAAAAAAACGCCCAGCTGTTCCATCAATACTGCCACCCACAATATAAACTCAATACAATATTTTTTAAGAAATAAGTAACACTCTTATGTCCATTAAATAATAAATAAATTATTCAATCTAACACTAAAACTCGACATAAAACAGAACAATTGATACAATTTGTAAGCAATACAAAATATAAAGTCAGATAACCCATCTAGTGGAGATGGAGGGACCAACCTTAGCTTGGGCCTTCTGGGATTGCGAAATCATAGTTTGCGCTACCTGACCAAAAGCTTAAGTCCAAATTTACAATTAACAAGCTTCTTATAAAAGTAGAAACACGAAGGGTAGTTGACTATGTACGGGTTACTTATAAGTTTAAAAATTAAAAGTACTTCTTTACATCTTCTCTGCCATAGTATTACGTGTGAGTTTAACCGACAGACTTTTACAGATAAAACCGCGAAAAGCATTTGAGAGCATTATCTTATTTGCAAAATAATTTGAATTTGTTTACACATGGATTAATTTATATTTTTATATGATCATCACAAGTCATAACCTATTACTAAACACGTTCTTTCGGCACAGTGGGTCAGATCAAGTGAAACAATGAGTACAATATATTAGGTACACTGGCCTTTGGTGTGATGGAAAAAGAAAAAAACCGATTGCCGGTCGTGCCGTGAGTCCTAATGGCGTGGTAAGTCGTAGTGAAAGTTTTTGCTCTTTTCCGGACAAATTGCCATCGACCCAATTTTCTCTCTTGGTCCGGCCGCCCTAAGAGGCCAAGGTACTAAGAAAAAAACATATGTATGTATAGAGAGAGAGAGAAAATACTACGACCCACGTCAGTGAACTGCGAGGGTGCCGATAACCTAAACTGATAAACGTAACGTAGAATTACGAAGGAGCTCTACCCCATCCCTCCCTCGGTTGTTTTGGCTAAAAAATCTTCATTCTTAGCACATTTCTCAATTTCCTTTTTCATCAGCGCCCCTATTCCCGCCACCCTCAAAACAATAATACGAAAACAACTTTTCTCTTTCTACCAAAAAAAAAAAATATATGTTTTTCATTCAACAGACTAAGGATGAACACAATAACAATAATAATAGTAATCTCGGAACGACAGCGGCACATTTCGTTATACTAAAGCGCAGAATCATAATAAAAACGCATTAATTATTTAATAGTTATTGTAACTTAATATTAGTTAGGGTTCATTATAAAGTATTTGATTGCCAATTATATAACCAATTTTTTTTTATACTGTATCATGATGTGCTTTACAATAGTAGGTATAAGGTAATTGATGGTATATTAATATAATAATATAATAAATTTAAAAAAAACTATTTTTAATTTTCATCCTGTATGCCGTTTCTCGAATGTAATTTGCTATTATATTACCTCCTTTATGAACAGTGCTGGTTTCTCCATTTAATATTTTGTTTTTAATTATCTTAATTCGTTGTTGTTTATTTTCATCTTCCGTTTTGTATACACCCATTGTTGTCCTTTAGCTGAGCTTTACTAATGCCACTATTATAATATTATTTTACTCTCAGTATTGTGACATTTTTCTTTAATTAAAAGTACTCAAAAAAAAAAAACAAAAAAAATGATAATATTAATAATGAAAATAATAATACCCTCGTGTGCGGTACATGTATTGGAAATATACTTTTTATTATTGTTGGATGTTACAGTTATTCGAATGATATCATAAATAAGTTTATTACCTACAATGTATAGCAATCTTTTAAAAAGATAACAAAAACCTTTTAAAATAACAACTATATACAATTAAAATATTTTAATTGCTAATCAAATTGTAACATTTTAAAATTTTATGAAGTGTTAGTTTTTAAGCTAAACAAAATACTCTCGTCAACCCGTCGGTTAACAAATTGTTGATTTTAATGTTTAGAGATGAACGTCGAGAGATATCAAAAGCAATTTTAAGAACAATCCACACCAACTCGTCCTCAGAGTGCAATATAAACCCGAGCTTCAATTTTCTCGATTTTCTTTTAAATCAACCTAGAGCTTAAATTTTCCACTTGACAGTCGTTAGACCAGAAATTCTGGTAAAAGTAAATTGGTTTATAAAAAAAAATTAACATACTTATACTTACAAGTCAAGGCAAAAAAGCCTTGAATGTAGAAAAAACTGCATACAGATTTTCTGTTTTCTTTTCATATACACGTAGCGAATTGGGAAAACGGGTCGTTGTTTTTTGAAATAATAACAAACGAGAGAGATTACAGTTTTTGTAAACGTAGTATTATTTTAAAAAAACTGACGTTTTAAACGCTGAATAAATTCAAAACACATTTTTGTATAATAAAACATTTAAACTTTTGAAAACATCATAAATAATAACACAAAAAATCTCCAACAACATATAATACATTCCTTATACCTAGTATAATCATTTTATTATAAAATCTAATCTTATACTATACACTTTAACAATTTTAAACAACTTTGAGTAAAATATTTTTATAGAACTCTGGTTCTGAGACATGTTTTAAGTTACTAAAATTTGATTTCTTTTTTGCATTCTAGTATATGAGGACTAATGTGGTTTAGTTTTTCAAATATTTTTTTATTATATTTTAATGAGGTTTGGGTGGGATAAATGGAAATCCGCGTCTGTGAAAAAACATTAGAACGTAAAACCATATTAAAAATAATAATTGTCGTTAACTATAATGAAATCCGAACGCTCTTGTTTGGTGAAATACATGTACTATTTTAATATGACGTATAGTACATTGCAGAATTATAAAAGTAAAAATGTATTTTTTTACTTTTAATTCAAACGCATATTATAATAATCTAACGCGTAACATTCTATTTTGATGTATTCAACGCGTGTGGGATAAAAAAACGCATTATGTATCGAGCGTATTGGTATTTCATCATTATAATTTAAAATGATCATGTCAAATTCGCATCATAATATTTTTAGTATCAGACCGACAAGACCATTGGAATAAAAGTAATATGGAAAAACACATACAGTACCTATATGCACTTCTCCTATGTAATTTGCAAATGCATAATACTACAAGGTCGTCTATACATTTTTCCGTTATAAAATCCCATTAGGTAATGGATTTCCATTCAGTTGCCGGCGCCCAGTTTGATCCCTTTTGGTTCGGCCATCACTAGACAATAGTATTTATATTAAAGCAAAATTTACTCACTGCACTGTTTTTATTTCTTCGAGCACATTTTAATTGTAACGCACCTATATGATAAATAACTGATCGACGCACAGTGTTTGGCACTCATCTAATCAGTAATCATAGAGTAGAATTTATTAACACTTATATGTAGTAATATATTATATTATATTGTAAGGGCGCGTGGGCAATACCATCTGATTCATCTGACCATAAGCATATTGTAATATGAAGAGCTGAAAAGGCAGAGACACATTTTAAACTTCTGAGAATAAAACGTCATCTTCTGTACATAAAATGTATCAATTGAACAGCCGTTGGTATTGTGTTGCTGAACAATACTAACTTAACAGACACTCGACTTTTAGAATAAGTCAATGTTTTTAAATTTTAATTTCACACATCAGACAATTCAGCTCTTCTTATACTATTTTTGTTTTACGTTTAGCAATATAGACTTATAGCACACAAATCACAGTGTCAAATATAGTTCTAACGGTGGACCAATTAAGAAATGGACAGCACTTGTCGACTTATATGGCGGTCAGGGAAATAGTAGTCCATTCTTAATCGGTCTATATTTTAGTAATTGACACACCCGACACGCGCTCTTGCCATTCGGTGGACGTTCATCAAAAAGCAAGTACGTTGGTTTTTATACTGAATTTGCACACGATTTCAGGTAGCTTGGATCAAAGCGGATACCAAAGCCATATTAGCTATCCACGAACACGTTATCACCAACAATGAGAGGCTGTCGGTCACGCACAACGATTACAACACTTGGACGTTGAACGTGCGGACGGTGCGAAGGGAGGATAGGGGCACGTACATGTGTCAGGTCAACACCGACCCGATGAAAAGCCAAGTATATTATCTGTTTTTACCCTTGTCGGGGTGTCACCGATAAATAATTATTATAATGTATTAAATAAAACCCAACCGAGTGACTTACTTTTCGTTGTTTGCCCACAATTCGTTTATAATATTATATTATAACTAAATACTACACTGCGTTTCACGAGAGAACGGTGTGCCGCGCAGAAACCAAAACGCATTACTCGTATTTTGGGTTCTGCGCGGTACCGTTCTCTCGCAAGACAAAGCATACACGCTATAGTGCTGCTGCTAATACTGATGTTCCCATATGTGTACATGTAGAGCGCTTTCCTGGAAGTGGTCATACCGCCGGACATTGTGTACGAGGAGACATCTGGCGACATGATGATACCCGAGGGTGGATCCGCTAAGTTGGTGTGCAAGGCCCGCGGATATCCAGAACCGAAAATACTGTGGAAGAGAGAAGACGGCGGCGACATAATCGTTAGGACCGGTATTACGACCAAGACCAAAAGTGAGTTTACGTTGTCGCGCCGGATAAATCTGTATTCTAATATATTGTCTGTTATATATTCTAATTTGTGGTAAGCCCCTTTCGAGAACGTTATATAACGCATTAACCGTATTCAATATGATGCCATATGATATCATGTCTTTACGAAACCCATTCACATTGAATAATTATTCATACTCATATAATAATTCCATTAGAGCAGTCACCGTATTATATAAGGACACCCCTAAAGTGTTGTGATCATATCTGAACCCCCACACAAACATATTGTACACCGCTTCGTTCAGAGAAGTTTTCTTTGTTTTGTATCATATTTTGCTTCTTAAAGTTGTTAAAAGTGTATAAACAATTTACAATGCTAGGACGAGAAAACTAGTATAATCTACACTCGACGTCTCGAATCGAATTACTCAAATTATCCGATAACTCGGAGTAGTCGACAATTTCTTTAAAGCGACCAAACAATCAAGTGGGGTATAAATGTAAATAAATAGGGGAAATAAAAAATAGGTTTTTATTTTTTTTTTATAGAAAAACTAAAAATGTTTGTGCTTCATTAAATAGTGTAATTCATTAAATTTCATAATCGTAAGAATCGTTTAACTACAACAAAAATTGACAGGTATTTTATTTTTAAATAATGGCAATTAAATTGGCATGGTTTTTTATAATTACTCTACTTGAATTAGATAACATGTAGTTTTTGTATAGTAAAAATAAATCAAAATATACTCATATTGCGTTTTGTATAACTATGTATATTTTAAATGAGAATATCATTATTAATTTCTTACTCTAGAAAGAATCCAAAATAGTCTATAAGCTAGGTTGCCAACAAACGCATAATCAATGTGCAAAACATACATGTATATATTATCCTATATTAGATACATTGAAAATCAAAAACTTAAAGACTAAATTAAGTATTAATTTATTTAGCAGCAACCACATGGGGATATGAAAAATACTAAACGATGGCACTTAGTGGACTTTTGCGTTAACGAATGTGGTTAATGCTGTATTTTTATTTCAGTGCAAGCGGTCGAAGGCGAAGTGTTGATATTATCCAAGGTAACAAGGTCGGAAATGGGGGCGTACCTGTGCATAGCGGCCAACGGCGTGCCGCCTTCGGTTAGCAAGAGGCTGATGTTGCACGTTCACTGTAAGTAGCATATTATTATATTATTGATCGATAAAAGATTTTAAATCATAGTATAAGCAATAAACTGCATCGCCTCGGTGATAGAATTTTTATTTTACGCTCAAAAGCCGCGTATAAAGACTTCGTGTTTTGTAACTGAGAATAAAATATTATTTATTTCTGAGAGAACCGGACGAACGAAAATAGATACAGAGGAATCGACGCAATTTCCGAGTCCACCGGCGGCGATCGTTCAACAATAGAGGCCAAACAGATTTAAAGTTTTTTCGACCCGGCGATAGGGTTAGCGCTGTCTGATTGACATTTATCACCGATATCGCAAACGCAGTCGGCGGAGTATACAAAAGAGCATTAATAACGTCCGTCTCTTGTCTGTATATAATATACACTGCCATCGCTCTCTTTCGCTGCTCGAATAAATTATTATATTATGTATACGGAGGGCGCGAAACGGAATCGGCTGTCGGCGAAAGCTATTTTTCGCTTTAGAAATATCGAGAACAAAAAACCACCCCCTCGAAAAACTCAAAACGCAAAAAATTGAAAACCGCATCCCACACAAATCATATTTATATATATATATATATATATATTTTTTTTTTTAAACGGAACGGGAGAGTATACAATGCCGGTAAACCATTGTCGCGGGTACGGTCATTGTGTGGTGTGCTAACTAAGCCATAGTGAAAACCTATAATATAGCAGGCCTTTAAATAAATATTGAATATAAACGGCCATCGAGCGTCAATTAAACGGTAAGCGACATACCGACGGTATGACCACGGACGTTTCAACTTAAAGTTTAGAAGTCAGAACTACCAACGACGATACTAACCGCGATTATTGTTTAAAATAAAAATATTTGTTTCATATGGTAATTTTTCAAAAAAATTCCTTTTTTTATTAGTAATTGTCGCCAAGCTAAATGTTGTACTGATATTAAGCTTATAACGGCGTATTTAGCTTTATTCATTTTTGAGATAACCAAAATGAAAAGGTTCTATGTAATTAAAAAAAACTAATTAATTCCCTACAGATTATTAATACGAATTTTTTTATAAGGAGTAAAGCAAAGGTTCTTTATCTAAATGATATGGACATTTTTACAATCGAATTGTTTGTTACCATAATTTTATCACGTACTTATAAAACCCTGCTCATTTTTACCTCGGAAACATCAAAACAATGTACTTTAAATCTGTTGTCTCAAAGGTTTATCTCAAACCATTTACTTAAAAAAAAATTCTATTTTGAAGCATTCACTTCGTAAACGTTCCTAACTCAATGAGTTTACTTTGAAAACGTACTCCACAAAACATTTTATAGGTATAAAAAAAAATTCTTTTCTATTTTTTTTTTGCTTTTTGCCCAGTGATATTATACATAATAAATTTCTATACACCTCGAGTAAAATGTAATTGAAAGTAGTAAAATATAAAATATAGAAAAAGTACAAGATATGAATTTTTCAAAACTATAAAATGTGTCTCCTTTTTCTTTCTCGGGTGACGATTTTTTTCCTATAAAATAGAATGCACTGTCAGTTGGCAGTAAAATTGTTGGCATTCAATATGCACTACATTATCATATTATTGTGTTGTCTAGTAATAATCGTCAAATCCCAAACCTAGTCTAGTAGACACGCCTTTGACGCGACATTATTAACAATACGTTAAAATAAACAGTTTTTTTTAAAGTACTCCACGTCCCGTCGAGTGGCGGTCTGTGCACAGTAAATAACGCGTGGGCGACAGTACACAAATATACACAATACACGTGAACAGCTCGTGTAAAATGCAACGCATTTGTCACCACACCGGCGGTCGGGCCGTTGGCTTTGGACGGGGGTGGTCGATAATTAATTAGGGAGAAGAGCCGGTTGTCTTGCTGTTGCAGTCGTGTGACGAGACAAACGTTAATCTGTTTGCTCTTGTATAGTAGAATGTGTTGTTTAAAAGGGCTGTTCATTAGAGCCCCGTTGACGTTTTCGGTCGGTATAATGGAATTTGCGCCCTGACCTCGTCCCATCCGCCGGAATAAATGGTCGTCGAACAGACCACCGCCACCACTCGTGTTATACAGCCGGCCGGACGAGTTGCTATATTGTTATTATTGCCGGCGAAAGGCGAACAGAGCTCTGTGTGTGTACATAATAATAAATTCGTTTCCGAAATTGCGTTATCGCCCGTTTCGAATAATTTAATTATTCTTAAACAACGTTTCGGCAGTGCCGGCTCGTGAACCCTCGACGAACACTCGCCGACCGACAAATAATAAATTATATACACGCTAATATAACCGGTAAACCCTCTAAAAAACCGTATCTCTCATAATATGATATTACCGTGTAACGCAGTGGCCTGAGGATACAAACGCACACGAGCAGCTATCATATTATATACAACCTCCGAGCTTTTTCCTTAAGAAACCCTACTGACTTTCGGTTTGAATACAAACATAATATTCACCGCCGTTGTAATTACATATTGCTTTGGCGAATAGTTTAATCATTTCATCCCGCCCCACTCGGTACATTTTCGGCATACCTAAGCGACGTACACTCGTGTATAGACGGGTTTTACACACTCTTCAAAGGCAGAACGCACGAATAACATAATATTTTCATATGATGTTATGTACGGATATCATCCATTCGCTTTGTAGATCACGGTCAATGCGACACCGCCGGAATTCATATATCGAATATGATTTATTATACCATCGCGCCCGTGTAATTTGAATAATTGCAAACATCCGTCTTCTATTCAAAAAACGATTCTGTTTTTAATAATACACATAAAATATAAGCTCAGACGCGTGGCTAGAAAAATTCTAAAAAAACTATGACGATTAGAGGCAAGTTTAGGACTTTAAAACAACTGTATTTCCGTAGTTTTAACTTGTGATATCTTATATTATACATATGTATACGTAGGCACGTGCGCGGTACCTACGTGGCTTTTGTCAAGCAAAACGAAGGATAAATTAAAATATAGATAGGCAGAGGAATAGTTAAAACGCACAGTCGTAGCACAATTGCCTACATTCGACGCCGTGTGATTAAATTGATAGATCTGTTATTACTAAAGCCCTATACATATTGTAGATCATATGATCAAAGCTAATACTATACAAGTGAAACCAAAAGGTAATAAAACCCATCAGATGATCTAACGGTGGTTATCCATGAATGTTTTAGTGGGCAGTCAAGTTTGTCTCATGAATACCGTTTAATTACATTTTTATTACTAAATTTATCAATACAATGTTTCACGTTCTGATTTCAAATAAGTCATAAATACCTCTATTAATAACCTGTTACATGCATTAATAATCAACAGTATTTAAAAATGTTAAGTAAAAGAAATGAGTGTTAAATACACATATGGAATATTTTAGATATTTTGAAAATACTATAAACCCCAATAAAATATACACTAAGATGTACTTTGAATTGTCTGTGAGATAAAAATGAAATATTACACATAAACCTACTTTTCACCATATTATAATACCTTTGTAATTTACGATACGATATGATACGCTGTTCAGAAATACAACGCTTTAAAATATTTTAACATTTTTGATAATTATAATAATATACTTCTTATAGCATATATTGTTATTAATAAATAATGAGGTATTGTATTTCAATATTAATTAATGGTACCGTACTAATGTGAGCTGCCGTACAATTTTACTCAGATCGATATGGCGGTGAATTATTAAAGATTCCAACAAGATTTTAAAGAGAAGCAATAAATTGCTCTCGCATAATATTTAATCTTCGTTTCTCGGATAAGGTATGTAATGATGCAATGAAAAGTTCGGTTGTCCAAAACTCATCGAACTGCGACAAAATTCGGAGTAAATATTGTAAAAAAAAAAAAAAAATACACCTGAAAAATAATACATATTTTGTCATAAAATATTTAAATTACAGAATGCAAACGAAACAATTGCATGAATAATGAAAATCGATTTTGCAATCTGGTTTTGGTTAAAACTTCTCAGTTTTTAATTAAAAACTTGGTTCGAAAGCCGTCGAAATTAGTTAGCTTTCAATTTTTGCTAAAACAGTAAGCGGACATTTTGGCCGTAGACGGAGAAGAATGGGCGGTAAAGCGTAACGGATATTATTTCCAAACTAAATGCAATATTTATCAAAAACTTGACGGCCAACACTCTACAATATTTGGCGAATTAACAACCAAGTACTCCACACCCGCTGCCTGTTGGCATCAGTGTATAAGCGATGAATGTTTAAAATGGCGAAACACGACTTTTCCGATAAAACAAAATACGTTGGCTTTTACATATTTGTCAGAAATGAAATTCCTACGAAATGGATGTGGTGGAAAGAGGGATGGGGAGAGGGGCACAGTGGGAAATCGACGAGAAAACTGTTATAGGAGCAGTCTACGAGTAGCCATAAACATTCTAGAACATCGTGGACCGAGGGCGCATACGAATCGTACACTAGGCTACAGTGTATAATAATATAATGTATACAGGAAAATTCGATGAATTTAACATGTACAAAATTCCTCCCGCCGTCCCTTACCCTAAAGCCTTAGTTCGGTTATATATATTATATAATGTATACTTGTATAAATTATACCTAATTAATTACAGAGTTGACTTATAATTAAATTGTTTTTTGCCCGCAGTCCATCCGTTGGTGCAAGTCCCCAATCAACTGGTGGGAGCACCACCCAAGACGGACATCACACTTCAGTGTTATGTGGAAGCCTCGCCCAAGTCCATCAACTATTGGACCAGAGAATCAGGTGAGCGAATCACAGCTAATTTATACGTTTTGTATTATCGCGCTAATTTAAAAATAAAGACCTTGTGAAAATGTTAAACACTATTCCCGATTCCGGATGTCGAATCAGAATCCAGTAGCACGCCATTTTTATCTGTATAATCAGAGCTGTACAGAAGTTCTAGGACCGTATCCACTCACAAATCTTAACCGTGAACATTGATTTTAGAATATACAATATTAATAGATTATATTCTAAGATAAATGCTAAAAATCAAAAATAGTTTATATTTTAAATCCTTCTATTTTGCTAGTGTGTGATCAACGAGAAAATAATAAAAACAATAGTACATCCATATAGCGCACTGATCGTTTATAGTACTCGGCAAATGTATAGGATTCGTGTATTACAAGCTGCCAATTGTGAAAATTACCCCAATTTTGTGACTGGCTAAAATATAAAATGAAAACTTAAACAATTTGTATAACACGGGTTTAATAAATGGTTTAGTAAATCGAATCCGTTACACAGTGTGTAATACATAATGCATGTGATGCGACACTGGAGTAAGTACAAAAAGAATAATGTCCGGATGAAATAAAATAATAATAATTGTCGCCGACCTTTTTTTTTTTTAATTTGACGATACACACACACTCACGCAACAATAGAGAACACAAAGGCCGAATGCAATATATTATAATACCATCGTGAAAGGGATGTTACCGCGGAGACGGGGACGGGAAGCGGGTATTCTGGAAGAGACACGGGGGGAGGAGGGAGGGAGAGAGGGTAGATGGTGGATAGGTTGACGTTATAATTGTATTGGTCCAAAGGCCAAGCGGTGTGCAAAACCTGCGACCCGACTCCGCATCGTCCTCTCTCGCCCTTTCTGTGTGCTCACCGCCAACAAGCACCCTGTTGTTGGTGCGTACCTATACGGCGTGCCTTTAAAAAGCTCCCCTGCCACTTTATTCAAAGCCATGCTAATAAATGTAATTTACATATTTTTCAAATAATTCTATCCGCCTGTGCACCGTCCGTCCGTCCATCCGGAAGCGCAGCTCTACTATCAGCCATAACACAGAGACACAGTTCCCCCTCCCCCCGGCTTGCAGCTCCTCTGGCACCTAACCTAATGATTACACTCCTCGTCCGGTGTAGTACAATGTATGTATATATTATTATGTTGAATGTGTCTCCGTTCTTTTGCTTCCTCCGGACTCCGTTCCTACAGCAAACGCATCCCCGTGTGCGACTTAAGTGCTTATGGGTCATTATCGTTGGCGCGTAACGCCAAACCAGAACTGCGTTTCACTTAAAAAAAAAAAAATCTCCCTAGAAAATATTAGATTATGTAACGTAAAACAACGTTCGTTTTTTTTTTATCTCTAGACGCAGTTCAAGTGGCCAACAAATAGATCCGTTTTTATTATTTCGAAACAACACAAGTACTTAATGCATTTTATGATACCCACACACGTTCGACAGACAAACGAGTACTTGGCTCGAGATAAAATATGTAGAAACAAAGTAGATGTTATCATTGATATTGACAAAATTAATCTGTTTCACAATAACGCGTAAATTTTTATCGATTGTAGAATTATGCAAAAGGAATATTGTCGAGAGACTGTTTCAAAAGTATAAGCTCTTATATACTGTACTCGACTGTTAAAACGTGAAAACATTCATTTCGTTTGTAAAATGTAATCTATACGTCGTTTAGACTGATGTGTTACACTGTCGGCTTAGAATTTCCTGTAACCAATAGTTGTTTTTAACAAATCTTTCTTTTATTTAAGTTATTATGAAACTTTAGAGAAAACTTGCTAATAATTTCTAAAAAAAAAATTAATACCGACCGTAGTTCAATCAAAATAATTAAAAAAAAAACGCACTATATGTACAATTTGTTATTGTTAAGCTACTTATTAGTGCCCACTGCATGTTTTTTATTTGCGCATTCTACTTACGAATTTTACCGCTTTCTAAAAAAGTGTGTATGAACAGTTGAATTGTTTTTAATTTTCATTTCAAGCGCTATAATTCACAAATTGATTCGCAATCATTACGCCTTTGTTGTACCAAAACAATAAAATATGTATGTTCTTTTGCGTACCTTTTTTTTTTTTTTTACTCTTTATATCATTATTGTTACTGTTATTTGCCACACTAATTGAATTCAAAGCAATTAGCGAACCGTCTGACGGTTAACGTTCCACCTATACGTACATTATTGCATCTGTGTAATACGAGTTTATGCACAATGCGCATCACGGACCTTTGTACAAAGGCACGCGCGAATATCTAATATGGCTTCTTGTATACATAGTGTTCCCTCGGTGTCGGTGGGATCTTTATCACGGGTTAGGTTGGTAAATATATGTCTACGTGTAACCGCTAAGAGCTAAAGCTAGATGCAGAAACCCGGCCAGGGAATATTGCACGTTTTGTAGTAATTCGCGGTCTAATTGGTTCGGCAAACACTAAAAGCTTTCCTCTTTCTTTATGCATACAGCCCCGGTCGCTCCGTTATGCACACACACACAAACAGCGACTTACAAGACAAGAGATCGTATATTATTATACTCGACCGAGACGCTAATTAAATTCGATTTACATAACCTTAAAAAGCCAACTTTTAAGCTTATCGAGGAAATTAACGCAAACCGTGTTTTATTAAGAATCAAAACATATGAATACGCACAACTCACAAGACATATTAAATTTATCTAGGAGACGTTTCAAGTATGATATCCCATAAAGGACAGCTGATTGTTAGTTGTTTCTATTAAATTATTTTTAAGCAAAATTGTCTACAAATGACTTTAGTAAAAGACAATATTTTTTGGTAATGATGTAACATACATTTTCAAGCTCACTGGCACATTTAGCTCAGTGCAAGCTATAAGCAATCAAACATCCAACAGTGAAAAATCTACAAAGAAAGATTCAAGAAAATTTAATTCTAGACTAAACGTGGATTCCGTTGCATGTTGGGAATCGCACAAATGAAGAGTCAACAAGAGAACCTAACTAGATTTTCATCCAATATGCACTTTAAAACGACATAAAAATTAGTGCCATTTAAAGGGGGGGGCAAATATTGGTACAACAAACCAAAAAAAAGTAAATATATCTCAAATAAAAATGCCCCGAACACCTAAAACTTTACAAATAGAAAAATTAGCATGGCGCTTACAAAATGTGTGCATCGGCCACATAAAAATTACACAATCTTCTTATTCGACAAAAAGTCACAGTGGAAAGAACCTGCAACCAAATACCAAACAACTGGGAAGCAGCCCTCGGGAAAGAAAATTAAACCAACTTGATAAATTATCTTAAACAAATAGTTAATGTATATAATCTTAAAAAAAAATAATATAAAAATTGTATAAATCTAAGTATTCTGAAGTTGTATAAATTGTAACAGATGTATTGTAACCAGGTCGTTGCCTAGATGTCGAAGCCTTAATATCAATTTAAAAAATCCGGTGTGTTCGGTTTCTGTTTACGAATTTCAAAATCCGGATTTACAGTAAATCCGCAGTTTAAAACCCCAAAATCAACATTTTTGTTTTCACAAACTCGCATTTTTCCAATCACTATTTTTTGAGTTTTCTATTGAATAGATTTCAATCCTTTCTTTATAATAAAGCTTACAAGTTGTTCTATGGAAGCCAAAAAATTGATTTTTTTATTAATAATTACAAAGTAAATAATTATAAAAACTATACAACATTAAAATAAAATAAACGCGTACACGATACAACATGTGATTAAGGACAAGTATTAAAAATCAGCCTTTTACCCTACATAGAGAAAACGTTCAATTTTATACACATATAATTTATTTAATTGGTTTGGTAGACACAATGGAAAGTGGCTGCGTTTTAGTCTTCCGTTGTATGAAATTATGTTCTTTTCGTTCCCTTAAAAATAAAAACCATTACAATACCATCACCGCTAAAACTACAGTACACAAGCAATTATAATTTATACCATAAATAAAACATAAATCAACCTAAAAATAAATTGGCAAAATGAAAAAAAATTCAATTTTATTCGAGAAAAAATACTACCTCACGAATACTGGAGTTGTTAAAAAAAATAGTTTACACAAAGGCCGACCTCTTCGGGGTGGGTAAATGATTAACTGCAATGGGTAAAATATTCGAATGGGGACAATGACAAATTGACCGAATGGTGTAATTTTACTGTAAAAGGCCGAATGTAGACGGAAACTAAACGAAATTGTTAAAAATCACATAGATCCAACGCACTTCATGAACCAGACATCTCTCTCGGGTAGAAAGTTAGCAAATCGGATATTGCACAGCCCGCTGCGCCTTTAAACCTTCTATAGATATACCGCTGAAATAAATCCAAACGGGTATATTTTCCGGATATACTATTATGAATATGGATGTATACTTGAGGTAATAACTATGCATTATTATTTGGGTTGTAATACATGATATATGTAGGTAGTATTATAGATGCCTGTCTTTTGAATAATTAACCCCTAACGCATAGACATGCCGCGCTAAACGCTCAACAATTTTTAGTTCAATGGCAAGCACATAACATGCTTAACTCGTGTATAATTTATGTATCTTTATTCTCTACTGTCGGTTATTCGCAGGTGAGATGATCATTTCAAACGACAAGTACAACATGACTGAGTTGACGGTGTCGTACTACAGCGCCCAGATGAGACTGACCATCAGAAAACTGCGAAAATCCGACTTGGGAGGATACAAATGCATATCGAAAAATTCCATCGGTGAGGCGGAAGGCAACATAAGAGTTTACGGTAAGACGTCTCTGACAGAATCAATCGGTCTACATAGGTATTTATTACAATAAATATTTTTGTCTTGCCTAATTAGTAAAAAGTAACAACTAACACACATTCAACCGCATTAACTTACAGCAGGAAAAAACAAATTATGTTCCTTTTTCCCTATGACTTCCCTTAAAATTTAAGACAAGCTAATTATTACAATAATAGTCATTTCCTATCTGATTTTTAATTATCCGACCTCACTTTTTCTAATTAAACTCTCCTTTAATATTGTCAAAACTCAAACACCTTATTATATTTTGATATACATGATTTCTTCTCAACATAAGCACATCGTGACATCTCTTAATTATTTATGGTTTTATAGTTACAAATTTACAGTACAACCTTTTAACTAGTTGAAAATAATACGGTGGGCCCCTTGTTGTTGATCACTTGCGAATGATGTAGTTTTAGTACAGTGGACGAGACAGTACAAAAGTGTTAGGAGTTAAATTAAAGAAAAGGATGAAGTATAAGTTGGAGAGCTAAGACGCGAGAACACTTGGGGGCTTGCATTTAATAAGAAAGGTAGAGATAAAGTCCTAGACCAGGCGGCCGATACATATATGTAGGACACAGATAACATCATATGAGTTGCTGCTACCGTGAACCGTGTGTTCTTCGATAAAATAATGACATATTTTGTCTTATTGCAGAAATGGACTTGTCCAAGCCCCGAGTGGAAGGAGAGGAAGACGGCGACAACGCTATACTCGTGTCAAACATGGACGAAGATGACTACACCAACGGACAAGTGGGAGGCAGGAACACATCGAACAATGTGCCGGCTTACAAAGACCAATCTCACCGTTTACACAGGTCATCGGCCAATGCCAAAGAAAACAATGCCGTCAATTTAGTATCGGTTTCGTTGACGGCCATCGTGTCACTGGTGCAACACTTCATGCTGTTGTCGATCAGCAAATAGAAATGAACGAGAATAAAACAAAATTAAATAGAATATCTCCAACCGCAAGCATATTATAAACTAAAGACATCAACGCGGGCGAATATACCGTTAAACTATTCATATTATTTACTATTCAAATGTCGGTCTTTTCTTTTATGTATCTCCAACACCATACCGTATTATTTTGGACCAACACACGATGTAACATGTGGTTATGGAGCTAATCCGACTTAAAATCCATCTATCCCATCACTGATCAACTTAAACCTAATATTTCACATTGAACTGTCGAGACACAATTTTAAATAAACCGCGTAGTCAGGTTAACGCAGTAATACGTGTGTGACAAAATATCTCTACTCTACCTGTTGGTCATTGGCGATTTCTTTTTCAGAACAGATTAGAAATAAAAAAACCAGACCGCCTTATTTATCCTAATTTTCTTTGGATATGAATCTTTGAGGAGACGCGTTGTTCAAAATCGCCTACAATTTTAAAATGATAAATATATGCAAACAAAAATAATATTCTGTGTAACTTAAGGAGTAGATGTTGTTTAAGGAAACTCACATAAGCGAGTAAAACCAAAAATCGAAAATGAAATCTTTATAATAAACTTCCGAACGACTTCCATGTGGTAAAATTGAAATAACTGAAAGACATTTTTACTTTTTTTAATTATTCACGTTCTTGAGTTGTGCTGGAGTATTCTTGAGGTTTATCACGATTCGGACCTGATCAAAGCAAAACTGCAGTTCCACAGGTAGACCGGGGAGCCAGCACACCATTAGCCAAAATAAAAATGGGATGAGGCGAGAAGAAATCTTGTTTGGAATCAACGAGATACCTATACATATTCATTTATAAATATAATAAAATAAGTATAATTATCATACTACTTTGATGATAAATTAATTATTATGTTTGGTCACAAAAATATTGTATTGTTTATTATTATTTAATATACTTATCGAATGTAAATAAATATAGTTAATTATTATTACAGACACAAGCGTTTTTTTTAGTCTTATATATAAAAAAATATATTGTGCTGTTATAAGTAAAATACAGTATAATAATATGTATTTATACATATCTGTATTACTACCGGATTATAACTTCAAATGACGTATTCCACTCTAAAATGTAACCCAATTGACTTATATATACCAAATTTTACGAGAAAAAATTGTACGCTAAAGGACTGTACGTATAAAGGATATTGAAAGCGGTCTAGTTTCTGACCAAAAAGCCTGACAAAATATCGACTATGCAGAATGGTACGATTTCAATTCTGTAAAGCGATACGAGTTCATTGGCTACTTTATTAAATTATTATTGTTATTTTTTTATAAAAAAAAATTGTTTTTTAATTTTAAAAAAATGTTCAAGTTTTATTTATTAAGGTAGTCAAAGAACTCGAATTTCTTTACAAAATTTAAATCTGATTATTATAAGTAGGCGTAATTTTGTCAGGCTTAAGGTCGGAAATAAACCAAAAAAGCTTTTACTTGGAGAAAAAATTATATAAATTAAATATTATACCTTGAAGCTTATACAAATTAACTGGAAAATTAATTGACACGGTCGAAAATGATTAAAACCCCTTTTTTCTTTAATATTGCCTATATAAAACTCCTTAAAAACCAGCCGCTTCTAATCTTCCCCCTTAAAGCTTGTTTTTTTTTACTTAAAATTATGAAATTATTTACAAAAATAACAGAGTACAGTAACCTGGTTTTGATATTTTTTTTCTGTGAGAAGCACAATGGGCGTTTACAAAACTGTATGATTTTGATTATTTTTTATACTTCGAGAAATTTTATTTTTATTTATAACATTTTTAATAAAATGTACAATTATAAGTATCAATTATCATTAAACAATATTGATCTGACTAGATAATATTTTTGTTTGGTATGAGCTTTTTCGAAACAATACTCTTGTAGCCAACAACACTATCTTTTTTTTATTTCAATGTTGGATTATACTGAATTTAGAAAACATTTTCGAAGAACTTATTTTATCTTAAAAAAATTATCTTTTACAATGATTACAATAAAATGGTTTTAAACATAAAAAACATACAACAGGAACGTACTATATCACTATTTGAACAAAAATATTTTTATGTTGGGTTTGTATAACTAGTCAAAAGATTATTTTATACATCCACAAAGGAATTTTATAAATTAAATGTTTAATTTAAGTAACAAAACACTTAGTTGTTAAATAAATAAAAATTTGGTAAAATATCAATTTGGTTTGTTTAACTTATTAATTAATTTATGTCCTCAATGTATCAAATTTTTTTAAACCTTCCATTAAAACTTTCACTGTCATTCCATTTTTTACTAAGATACATACAACTCCTAATTTTTCCAAATCGACTATGTTACGTTGTTCGTCGTCAAAAAAAACCATGTCTTCTAAACCCACTTTGGTAGCTTCGCTAATTCTATACAAAACAAAATACAATGTTAATCAGTCAAGTATTATTCAATTTCATATTTACCTTTTAAAATGTTTATCTTTACTTCCAGGGTAGATCTGTTTATTTTGAAAATAATTATTCCAACCAAATAACTTTATAAGTTGTTCTGCTCCATCTACTTCGCCAGTTCTTGATGCTACACTTATACCAATCTTATGGGATGAGAGAAATTCTAAAACTTTCGGAGACTCTGGATAATATTTAATTAATTTACCACGCATATCTTCCACTTTACCCGACCTGAAAAAAAAAATATGTGAACTGTAAATCATGCATTGAAAGAGTATGTTTAAGTAAATTACGAATTTTTGTGAAATGGAGGATCCACATGAGTGTCAACCCAAAATGGCCACAGCGTATAATCTGCAACAGTTCATTATCATGACAGTCAAATTATTATGTTTAATAATAACAAGGTAGGAACTTATAGCTTTTTGTTTTTATAAAAATTGTTGACATTTACCTAAATCGAAAACTACCATTTTGGGGAGTTTCTTTAAGGTTTCCAATGAGTATGACATTGTTAATTGCTCTAAAAAGTAAACAATAAAATAATTATAAATAGTACAAACAAGTTGGTTTGGTAAAGAAAACACTAAACCACCCGTATTTCGGCTATAAAACTCGTAGTACAAGGGATGAAGTTTTCGGGTGGTATTCGTGACAAAACTACAACATTTTTTGGATTTAGATTTTTTGACTACATTACTCATTATATTATTATATTGATCACATTAATAATTAATTATTTCCTCATTTTTGACACTGTGATTTACCTTTAAATATAGTAAAGATACTTGATACAAATACAACATACTTGTTTGAGTCAGCGTTTTGTAATGATAATTGACTGTAATGTATCCGGGAATTAATGTGCGTCTTGTACCTACTTGAGATAGGCTTTGAAATCCAGTTCTGAATTATTAAATTTACATATAAATTCTATAGAATACAATGTATAATATTAGACATATATTTATTATTAATGTTATTGATTATCTACTACATTTTATTTGAAATTTGAATAGAGTTCCAAAACACAATCAAGGCAGAGAAAAATAAAATATTTTCTATAGTGCTAGTCCCAAGATAAAGTTATCGTTAATTGTTTTCTTAACTGATATATATTATCATAAATACACGTTATCATATTATTAAACTTGATAGTGTGTTATCAGCCATTGGCCGGCGCCTGGTTTTTAAAGGTACAAAAACAATGATTAATGATAAAACTCGGTAACAACAATAGATGCCTAAAGTCTACCCAACTCTGATAACAAATCCAGTAATTCTGTAAATATTGAATCTAGGTAATAGGTAAATTTTTTCAAATACGTGTCCGGTGTCGGTTTCCGAAGATAAAAAACCGTTATTATGGACGATTAATTTTGTTTTAGACTTACTAACACAATAATTCACATTATTATGGTAATAATTATTCAAATTAACAATTAAAGTACAAAAAAACGTTTATAACAATACCAATAATATGTATTAGGTACATTTAGAAACACCAAAGTAAGTACCTAAAATAATGTTTATTGTTATTGAGCTTTCATAGAATGTTTTAGAGCGATTTTAATTATGCATTAAAATATCAAAATGTTTTCTTAGTAATGTCTTACGATTTGACAAACACTATAATATAAAGTCACTGATATTTAATAAAAACCTTAACTTTACTAGTAAGTACTTTTTTCAGATTAAAATAATTTTATACCGTATACGTAAATAAATAACATTTTTAATTTTAATAATAAAAAGAGCTCTATAAATCAACTGTTACATATTAATTGTTACTAACATTAACTAGTAAATTTGATGGTTTCCCAATTATCAGGATTTGTCTGTGTATAAAATATAACATCTCTATTATAACTAACTCAAACATTACTTTTAGCTAAATCATGAAAATTCCTTCATTCGGTACAATTGTCACAGTACTCTTCTTGGTGTATTTAAGTAATCTCTTCTATTCAATATGGATAATGGTACAACCACCTAGGTGTACAGAAGAAGGTTTATGTTTGAAGTCATTTTTGTTGCGAAAACCTAATTTAGAAGTTTGTACTATGGTCAAAGTTTCAGTTAAACTTTTTTTTTCTTTTTTAATTGATTTTTTTTTTAATTTTTGCTCTTAGCTACATATATTTGTTTCATCTCGATCAAATCCACGTGGATCCGAAGTAATATATCTAAATAATTATCCTATACCGAATTATGATGAGCCCTATGAAAGGTAAGTAGTTGATTAACATATCTTTGACTATAATATATTACACATAACTGAATAATTAACTGCATGTTTTATTTTATGAAATAATAGAAGTATTGATGTAAAACTTCCAAAATCTACTACAAGAAATGGCACATTATATGCACATGTATTTCTAAGCAATACCAAAGATGCTCCGGTTTCAGGAGACTTATGGTCACATTTCTTATCCAATCACGAAACAGTCTACACATTAGTGCCAATGTCGGTGTACAAAATTCCTGAGTATAAAGTTTTTCAATTGCTCAACAACGATGAAAATAACCAAAAACGTTTAGAAAAACCAGTGACTCACATTAAGGCCGTAATGCCTGTAAGCATGATGTCTGAACCGCTAATGTTGTCTCAGGTTCATATGCCCAGTGATATTTATCAATACATAAGGTACAGGACTATTTTAATTACAAATTCAAGTTGAAATTTCATTTTATAAAAACTGCTTAAAATATTATTAAAAAAAGTAGTTATATTGCATGTCCTGATGTTTTTTTTTATCTTTGTTATAGGCGTTATCGTCAACGTCAAGAATATTTACCAATATTTTTACATAATTATCTTCAAGATCGATCATACAACGTAACAAACATTGATAGAAAAAACCCTTCGGTTCCAGTATTGTTACGTTATCTACCTATAAGCTATGCAGAATTAAGGTAAATAAACAGTCTTGAAAAATGTTTAAAAAATTAAATTTTAGTTTTCAAATGTTTCACAACTATAAAATAATACATTCTTTTCATTTAGTATTTAGTAGCTCTTCAAACAAACATTAATGGATCCTGTAATGAATCTATTCGATTTTCCAATTATTTGTATACTTTAAGATAAGTTAATTGATTTATTATTTATATGATATTTATATTTTAGAATATTAACACAAACACAATTGGCAATGGGCACTATGAAACAATTTGGATTTAAAGACAAGGATATAGATGAGATTAAAGCTATTTTTGATACCAACCATTATTTGTTGTTAGTTTCGATTCTTGTTGCATTCGTACATGTAAGACAAAAATTGTACCATCACCTTAGGAATAATAGGAGTTGCATAAAAAAATATATATATATATATATATTATTTTTTTTAATAGCTTTGGGATATTAGCCAAAGCTTATTTCCCTTTGCATGTCTGCTATAAAAAGTTGCCAACAATGTATAACAGAATGAAAAAATCTTTATAAATTCAGTACAAGCTTAGTTTTACTTAATACTGTATTGTTAAAAATGTTATATTACATTCTATGCAACTTTCCTATTATAAATTAACTTAACTTACATTTCTTAACTATAATCTTTTTTTTTCAGTTATTATTTGACTTTCTCGCATTTAAAAATGACATATCATTTTGGAGATCAAGAAAAACCATGGCCGGATTATCTTCTCGCCTTGTTTTATGGCGTGCATTTAGTCAAACCGTTGTACTTTTATATTTGATAGAAGAAAAAGCTTCTATGTTGATTATTGTTCCTACTGTAATCAGTTCAGTCATAGAAGTAATGAAACAAATTAAAGATATTCCAATATTGTTTTAATTTGCTTAACTAAAATAAATTTTAAATCTCAACAAATACTACATTGAATTAGCAAATACAACCTAATCTAATAATTTTTTTTTTCTAGATCTGGAAAGTATTTAAAATTATTCCGGTCGACTGGAAGAGACTGAGATTAAAACAAGTCACCCTAAATCGTGCTGAAGAAGACACTAGAAAATTTGATGCGGAATCAATGAAATATTTATCATATGTTTTATATCCACTTTGTATTGGTGCAGCTGTTTACTCTTTAGTTTATGAACCACAAAAAAGGTAAAAACAAATATGAGAAATTCCATTAATTAAAATGGTGGGTGATCTGCTGCTCTAGTATATATTTTATCTTTTTTATATTTTGGAAAACATAATGATTGTTTGTCGTGGGTTGGTAATTTTATTAACATTCACATCTTCCTCAATTCAAATTATTCATTATAAGAAGGACAAGTTTTAAATATATAAAAAAAATGTTACTTACGTTATTTTCAACAGTTAAAATTATCACTTTGTTAAAATTATTACTTCAATAATTTGTTTTTTCAATAAAAATTACATAAAATTCGAAAAGAAGTCTATATGTTAAACAGGGAATCCTATACTTTTTACAATGGTTGAGTAATAAGCGCAAGAAAAAAAAAATTTACTGCACTACACTTTCCGTCCAACTCTTTAACTGCAAGAATAATTGTTCAAAACTGGTTATTAACTGGTGAAAACATTTAGTAAATCATTTTATAAATTTAAAAATTAATAAAATAACTACATTACCATCTAAAAAGTTATAATAACAGTCTAACGAGAATATATGAAGAGCTTAGGGGAAAAACGGTAGTAGTCACATTATGAACAATTTTTTTTTCAATTTATGCCATTAATTTTTTTTATTTATGTCAATAGATTGTTTAAATAAATACATTTTTTATTAGAATAGCATTTAATGTGATTTTTTTTTGTTCTTATGTAAGAGGGAGAGGAATTCACCAACTTTGTTTTTGCTATACTCTAAAATTTTCATAATGCGACTACTATCGTTTTTCCCCTGTGCCCTTCATTTAATATGTTAGATATCGTATTATTGCTTCTAAGAATATAGGTGTAATTGATGTTATAAAAATTCAGTAGCTAAATATCAGTATTTATAATAAATATAATTTTATCTTAAACCTGTATGTTAAAACGACGCCACAACTCCATAATTTAGGTGTATCTAGATTCTAATGTGTCTTTTTAATATGTTCTTGTATTTACTAAAAAAGGTAAATAATTGGAAATTCTTTAAAACTGTAAAATAAGTTATTTAAAAAAAATTATTTTACAATATAAACAAAAATATTTTGAATAGGAAAACTACAATATTGCAACTATTTTTAGTGTCTACCGTAAAATTGACTGGGGTTATACATTTTTAATAAAATAAAAACAGTTTTTATTTATTATGTTTTTAGCCTTTATTCGTGGTGTATTAAGAGCCTCGTAAATGGAGTTTATGCATTCGGTTTCCTGTTTATGCTGCCTCAGCTTTTTATTAACTACAGACTGAAATCTGTAGCCCATTTGCCATGGAAAACATTTATGTACAAGGTAAAAAAAAAAACAGAATTTAACAAAAAAATCTGACACTTAATAAATATTTATTTCTTATTTTTGTTTTATAATTTTTCAGGCATTCAACACCTTCATTGATGACTTATTCGCTTTTATCATTCCTATGCCAACTGCACATCGATTAGCATGTTTCAGGGATGACATAGTGTTTCTTATTTATATTTACCAAAGATGGTAATTTCCAAATGTTTATGTTTTGTAAGTCTAGTTACTTAATGATTATTTTTATAATTCTAGGCTTTATCCGGTGGACCTCAATCGATTAGACGAAGATGTTGAAATCACTGAACCTGCTACGGACAAAACTAAAGATAAAATGATGTAAAAAAAATGTAGTTAGCCTTTTTTCTTATTTTTTAAAAGTGATGTTTGTAAAGCTTTATCGAAATTGTATATTTAAATTTTAAACATCACGAATGTACACTAATAAAAACAGAGTACTTAATTATTATAACTGAATAAAATCATATATGGTGCCTAAACAGAAGTAATTCATTTTTTTTTTTAAATAAGAATAATTAAAGTGTATAATTTAATTTTGTTAAAAACTAAAGTATTATTATATATTTTAAGTATAAAAAACATTGTTGATAAATAATATTATAATAAAAATAAGTCTGTGCTTGAAGACTTTAACACACAATTTTATTATTGTTTTTCATATAGCTCATATATAACTGGCTTTTGTGATTTAATTAAATTATGTTATTGAAATTAATTTGTTTATTTATTTATACAAAAGGTTCAAGATACACAGTGCATGATGTATGTATTTATTTTAATTGGTTATTAAACCTTACTGATTTTAAAACTAAAAATTAAAAAAATTCAGACATAATTTCGTTCTTTTTTTTTTAAAGTATAAACAAGTTTAAAACAATACTATGCTCTTAAAATTACACAAAAAAAATTAAAATTTTACACTTTAATTATAAACAACTTGATAAAAAAAACAATTAAATAATAAGGTATATGATTAGAAACAAACTATAATAATTCATTTACATGGCCATCATTTGGTTTACGAGTAGCGCAAGATTTATAATTGGCATTCGAATATCATACCCGGTAAAAAATAGTCCATCTAAAATTTTACATATATCATGCATCCTAGTCCTTCTCTCGAGTTTGTAATTTAAGCATTTCATAATTAACGCTCTAGAACCAGTTGTTTTACATACTTCAAAGTCAATCTGCAGTATTTTCACACAAAAACTCAAACATCTTCTGAATGCTAAATCAAATGCGTTTCCTTCTCCTAACGATAATGAACCACTTATTATTCGATTAAAGGTTTCCATTAAATATTCCCACAATGTCATTTCTCGAAAACATTTCCTGTACGGTTTGAGGAAAAGATGTTCATATTCTGAAGTCATATACGAAGCACAAGGTGGATGCATTCTAAGATTTTGGTCTAATGCTGTGTAGTATTGCTCGACGGACGAGTCATCTTTACGGTCTAACATCTCGTTGATCAAGAATTTCATCATATCTCCGTTGAAGTACGATGTAGCGGTTATGTACATGACAATGTTTCTTACTTTGCTTGCTTTGTGGGTTGCAGCCAATTCGGCCAAGTTGCTGCTGACAGGTGCTACGTTTTGCGAATGAGAGGTTTTAAACGAACCTTTTTCCATACAGCCACAAACGGTCAACAAACATTTGCTAGGATAAACGTCTTCTAGAGATTTAATATACCGCTTCACAGAATAGTCGTTCAGAAGATTCATCTCGACGTTTTAAGCTCAAAAAAATTAGCTATTTTTTGTGGTTTGATTTCAAGAATCGTTATGTGAACTGCAGTTTCTGTAAAGAACATACAAATTTCGTTACGACCATTATGGCATGATTTGGGTAGCTGTCATATTATTATACACTGAACACACCTTGTACCAAATAAATTATTCTTCGAATTTCCTTCGAAAACAATATACCTAATGGGTGAACTTTAAACGAGTCAACACCGACGAACTTTAATCGGCCGTCGACACGCGTGAAACAAACGCCAGACGTCAATACTTGACAAATGACAGTTTGAAGTTTGCCGTTTGAACTTTGTAAACTTATCAATAAATTACAATATTATTATTTATTTCAAAAGCAATGCCCGGCTACGGCTAACAAGTGTCGAGAGTTCGGTTAAAACCATAATAATATTATTGTACAGTTTACCAGTGATAAGAAAACGACAATTCACACCATATAGTAATATTACCCTATGCTTCACACGCGTTCGTGCTGATAACAAGTGAACCGAATCCAATCACAATGTCTATATTGCCAAACTAGTAACTACATAGTATAATAAAAAATAATAATAATAATAATATCAGTATTCCGTCTGTGATGTAGCACTCCAAATTGATCGCCTCGATTAAGTTATTGTCAATTGATTTATGCGTTTTCCTCGACTTTTAAACTAAATGTATACTACAAGATAAAATTGTTACTTTTTCGTTACGATATGCGTTGAACATGGCCAGTCTAATGTGCTCATTTTGTATTATAAATTTAAAAAATTATCCGCCCATTACAGTAGAATAGCATTTTTATTTAACTCGGTTGCTAAAGTAAAAGGGTGCCTAATAATATTTAACGAATCATATTTTTGTCATTATGAGTGTCATGTTTGACGATGCCGGAGATCACTGCAAGCCCAATGCACTAGTTGGCAATTTTGGATGGTTTCTTCAAGGCCTTTTGGCGTCCTTAGCTTTCCTCTGTTTAATAAGTAAGTTTAATTGTCATTATATTATATGTGATTTGGTAGATAATGAATATTTGAATAAGCACAATTAAACAAATTTTCCATTTTGTAAATTTTATCATTTGTCTTAGCTTGTTGTCTACAGTTTTCTTTATTATATATATATATATATATATATATATATATATATATATATTCATTTGCCTTTCCTTATTATATATATATCCAAAAAGTAGATAAATAACAATTTTAATAAGTATTTAAACTAATTTTATTATCATGTATGTTTCAGTCAAACGATTTTGTGAACCAAAATATGACCGAAGGCCATGGAAAGTATGGTTTTTTGATACATCTAAGCAAGGGTTAGGAGCTTTGCTTATGCATTCGGCAAATTTATTGTTGGCTGGCCAATTTCAAGGTGATCCATGCACATGGTAGGTATTTTCAGTATTGATTTTCGGTTGAGTTCTTAGGCAAAACATATTTAATGGCAATTTAAGTGACTATTCATAATTGTTAGCAAATGATGATTATTGATTAATTAACATAGTATATATAATGTAACTAAATGTTTTTTAGGTATATGATACACTTTTTATTGGATTCGTCTCTCGGTCTACTATTAATATTTTGTGGAATAAGATTTTCACAGCATATTGCAAGGGTAAAAAATTGGGAAACCTTCAATTTTGGAGAATATGGTGCGAATAAAAGTGCTAAGTATTAATATTATTGTATTCTAATACACATTACAATGTCTGTATTTTTTTTAGGAAAACCAGAATCTGTTAGAATCTGGTTGGTTCAATGCGGCTTGTATTTAACTCTTCTGATATGTGTAAAATTCGTAATAACATTGCTCATTTCGTTAAACATTTGGCAAGTGGTCACAAAATTTATTATGGCGCCGTTTACTGATCCGAGAACAGAGTTGACTATTGTGATGCTGATCATCCCTCTATTCATAAATGTAAGCTGAAATATACCTATTTGTGTATTGTAAACTATTGATTCGATTATTATTATTATTATTATTATTGTTTACAATCTATATTTAGGCCCTTATGTTTTGGGTAACTGATGATATATTGATGCATAGAAGTCGTCATCGTGTCGGTCTATTGAGACGAATTAAAATTCAATATCATAAGGTACATCAGAATGTTCGTCTGGATGAAGTAGGAGGCTCCGATAATGAAGATATGCTCAGTCTTGATGAAACATCAACTATTTTGCGATCTCCTAGCTCTCCAAATTATTAATTTCAGTTTCGAGTACATTTAAAATTAAAATTAAAATAATACTGTTGATATTGTTATATTTCTCTGTTTTTTATCATTTAAGTAGTAGATATCCTTGCTTAATAATTATAAATATTTTATGTGTCCTTTTTTTTAGTACTTTATACTACTATTATCAACGATCTATTATGTTTATTATAAATAATTTTTGTAATATACCCAATTATATAAATGTATGAGTAACATTTAGGATATTAACTATAATTTCACTATACATATGTTCAACAAATTAATGCATCATGACCAACCCGTTGTTTATTGTTATTAATATTATTATGTATACAAATATATTTTTATATTTATTTACTTAAGATAACTTTATAATAATATAATAGAACATATAATTATTCCATTGCTCTAAATTAATGTAGGTATGTTTTTGTTATGATATATTTTTTGACCAAACATAATTTATTAAACTTAAAAATACTTAATAAATTGACTTCTCAAGGCTGTGATACAAGTTATTTGAATACAATTTGCACCTAACTTATTTGATTTTGTATACTTGGCCATTAAACTATTATGTTAAATTCTGTTTATTAAATGTAATATTAATGGAAAAAAAAATGTTTTTACTAAGTATTGTTATAATCTTATAAAATGGTGTGAGATATTTTTTGAACATTAGTACAATGTCTGTGTTATATAAACATAAAGCAATATAAAAAACCAAAGTTTTTTTTTATATTAAGTGTTATATTATAATAATTGATATTTTTTTAACATTGTCTTATATAATTAGAATATAACAATTTTAATTTGTTACTGAACGTTTTGTATTTAAACAAAGTTTTATAAAGGTTTATCAATACTAGTGTTTAAAATACATTGAATTATTGATTAGTAGTTGATGAAAAATAATAACAATATCCATCCATTATTTTCTTGAACAAAATTAGATTGTACACATTATTAGCAATTAGTTCTGCTGATTCATCAACATTAACTATCATTCTGTTGTATAAATTATAAATTATAACCATTAACCGACTATTTTAAATTAGGTATATAGTGTAATCAATTTGAAATAAGACACTCATTTCCTTTGAAAATTATTACAATTTTGTTGTTTCTCTTTTAGAAGACATTTCAGTTTTATGTTATTTTACAATATTAGGCAATATTGAAATCTTTTTACTAACATTCATTGCGCTTTTAACTTTTATTAACATATATAATGAATCAATTTTTTTAAATAAGATTAATTTATTACAAAAATTGACTGATCGGTAACGGGTTTTGGATAATTATTTTTAGTAAAAAGTTTACGATGAGAACTTTAAAAGTAATTATTCGAACTGGACGTGACCAGTCGAATTTTTTAGTAAACTACTCTCATTTTAAAGAGTTAGTCAATCATTTACGTTACCACGTAAGTCACAAATATTGATAGCGTTTCGGGAAAAAAATAAAACAACATAAATATTTGGTAATAGTATTTTATAATATTAAGAAATAACATAAAATAAAAATGTTTTCATCGAAAAAAAAAACTGTAAAATTTCAATTATCATAACAAGAATGTACTGTCTTATGACTGATAATGCTTTACGCCGCAGCTTTCCAAAATTCCGGGAAATTTTGGTATTCCGCTTTGAGTTTGTCGACCACACAGGCTTCTTTGTCGAGCAAGCAGTTGGCCGTTAGCTGGTTATCCGAAAAGGCGTCCTTGACGATGGCCGGGTCCACCAGTGTCCCGTACAGGGTCTCGGGGTCGGTGGCCGTGGTACAGTCATGTGTTATTTTACCGGTCGACCATTCGAACAGTTTGGTCAGTACTGCGTGGGCGCTTTCAGGGTGGGCCAAGGTCGACGGTATGGTCTCGCCTAGTTCGTCGATGAGGACCTTCATTTGTGCCCGGTCTTCGTCGGGCAGGTAAGTGTGCGCCTCTTCCAATGCGATTTTCAGGTGTTGCAGGGTGCGTTCGGCTATGTCGCCGTACACGGTGCCGGATATCTTCAAGGCGATGCCGGTAGCGATTTCCGGCATGGTGTCGACAGTGTACCGTTGCAGTATCGACTCGTCGTTTTCGCCATTGGTCTTCGACTCTATGTTGGCAATAAGTTCATCGATTTTGGTGTTGAAATTCCCAACGTTTACAGTCTTGAGGTCGGTGAACTCTTTCATTGCTTCGACGAAGTCACCGTCAGGCCGGTTGAAAATACCGGTAACCTTCTGGGTGGCCTCGGTGGCCGCCTTTTCCGCCGCTATCGACACCGACTTGATGATCGTTCCCTTCGCGCCCTCCTTAATCACATCGTTGGCAACGACCGTGTGAGTCGGGTCAATCGCCGCCAGCTTGGCGTTCGTCTCGTCGGCCACGGCGCCGGCCATCGTCCCGTAGAACTGCGACATCAAGTTTGATACCGCCTCGGCCACCCCCAGACCAATGGCCATGGTGTACGCCACTACGTATGTCTGCGCTTCGCCGGTGTAGACCATGGCGGCGTCGACGGACCGCAGGCCCAACTTGGACGCCAGCGCGGTGTACCTTAATACTCTGCACATGAGCCCTTGTTTCAGTTTTTCAGTGGTGTCGGCGATGAATTTGTCCAGCTCGCTTGTGCCCAACAGCCTGGTCAGCGCTGCCGTCAACGTCGTCAGCTCGCCTTCCGCATGGTCGTGGTCGACGATATCCATCACCATTTCGTCACCGAACGATGTGGACACGTTTTTAGCGAGCTGAACAGTTTTTCTAAAAAAATCCAATTCTTTATCGTCGCAGTGGCCAATCGCGGCCACAAGTAACAGTAGCAAACAAGCGGCGGAGACCATTGTGTATAATAATGTGGATTATGACCGACACTTAACACATTCCTATCATTTTATAGAGCCGCCATACGACGCTTGTTGGGTTTTAATTTGCGCACACATGTGTTAACTTATCCAGCAAATATTTGTTAAGCATCACTAGCTACCACCTATGCACAGTCAATATAGAATTATAAGTTATAACCAAAAATTTTGTTTACACAATAATACTTACATTTTTTCTTTTTAAAATATTACAATATTCTCGTACAAAAATACACATTAGTCATAATATTTAAGTCAAACTACGTCCAATTAAAATGGCGTTATAAAACATTTGGGCTTGATTTCCCATTGTACACGAGATCAATTGGAAAATAGTTTGATACCTAAACGTTTTTATTGATCGTACGAAAATCTATACTAAAATACAACTTATAGGATGGTGCAATAGTGATTGGGCTGGTTGACGGCCCAATTTTTCGATAAAGTAATATAATGATAATTACTAAAAAAAACCTAAAATTGGCGAAAATAAAGAAATTGTCTATCAATTCTGAGTAAAAGCAAAAAAAATACTCAGTGGTACAACTTATTAAGCAACAAACAATTAAATTTTTTTTTTGTTATAAAATGTCCTTTATAAAAAAAAAAATTCTTGTTCATACTAAATGTGGACAATTGTTCGACTCTAATAACAGTACCGGTTGACTAGGTGATATTTTTTAATAATTGACCAAAGGTATAAATTCTATGATTGTTTCTAGAATAATAATTAATATTAATAATATCTATTAAATTATTATTTATAATAATAGGTATATGGTTCTGAACCTACAGTTAAAACAAAAGTTGATAAAAACTGAATTCTTATATGATTTATACCATCTAAATTATGTTGTGCTTTTCTTTTCACGTTTGTGGTTCTATTCAACGTTTTAGTTCTAAGTGTTAACTAATAGGGTTTAATACTGTCGGTGGTTGTAACAAAGTGAATTTGTGTGAATACAATAACAGTCAACGATTTTTTTTTTTAATTTGTATTTGTTTTGTAGGACTTTTTGTGCATTTTCAAAGAGTTAAGAGTTTAACTTCAAAACTTAACATTAAAAATTAATATTGTCTTTATTTTATTATTGATATTTATTTAGCATCGACATCTATGGCCATTAGCCATTTTCCCCTTTATATGTTTAGCGAATAATAAACTCATAAATGAAAAGCCTTTAATGAGCAACTAAGAATAACCTATCATTTTAAACGTTTGGTTACTACTTAAAACGCATTATCGGTTCTCATAGGTTCAAACTTTTGTTGATGCAATGTCATAAACGTATTTATTATAAACTTTTTAATAATGATAGCTATGACGTTCCCAAGATTTTGAAACAGCTGTTATCCAAATAACAGTTTGCCATTAAAATGAAAAATAAGACACTAGTATACAATATGGTCTCAGTATTTGCGTTCCAATAAAAAATTATATAGGTACTGTTATTTTTATATACAACATTATACCCACTTGACTATGTTGTATTTTGTTTCTCCTCGAGAATGGAAAACTTTGTATAAATTTAATTACCTATCTTTTATTTATGAAATATTACCAAGAAACCATGATTTTAAGCAAAACAAATATTGTTGAAAATGCTATCTAGATCAAACCGATATTTATTGATTGCACATATGGTTTGTAGCAGCAAAATAATTGGCAAATGTTATAATATTTTTGCGTACAAAGCCAGCTTACTTCAACGACCAATAAGATCCGAACAAATTTAAGTGCATTATTCTAGAACAAACATAAATGCCAACCACACAGTACCATGGCTAGTAATTTGTTTTTAATTCAAAAACAATGGGTATATTATGTTTTTGGCAATATTGTAACTCAAAGTGTGTACGAAGGTTCAATATTTGTGTTTATATATATTATAATATATTGCAAGAATCAAAGAAACTCACCTTGGCATGTGTTTAGTGTTTACATTACGTTTTATTAGGTTAGTTTAAAAACCGCTAAGTTTTATACAAACTTTTTTAAATGCACGGGCTGAGTGTAAGGGTACATCAATGTAGTGTGTACAGTAAGTTCATTGATACTCAGAATCAGAGTAATAATTTATTACACTATTTGAACAACGACAAACCCAAGCGCGGCAATTGCCAATTTACTTAGCGAACTCTAGTGATGAAAAATTCAACTATGGAGTTATTTATCTTGGCCACTGAAAATTATACACTTTGGTAATCCAACTATGCTATTATTCGCAATTCGAAAAAAAAGTGGAGTTAATCGGTTTGGCTTCTGAGCGCCTCAATTGATGCGCGTTTATATTTTACTTGATTACACTATGTCAAATAAATCTAACTTATTTGCTAATAGCTCAATCAAAATCAGTCTTTTAGCCTCCATAGAGAAAATAGCAGATATGCCAAAAAATTACTTCTACGAAATTTATTTTTACTTATTAATAATATACTAGGATTATATTTTAAGGTTAAGTATTTTT